ATAGGGCACATCTTTGAACTATGAATGATTAAGAAGCGAAGATTGGCGAAATCATGTAATCTAAACTAAATTAAGAAGGTATTCAAGAGCTTTCAAAATAACGACATTTGCAAGGTAAAAAGTATGCATTGAGATAAATGCATTTACTTATCTTGCACAACCACGAAGTACGATAAGCTACACTTTCATATCAATTACTTCCATTTTTGCTCCGGTTGCAAAAATTGCTTCTTTACAGCTGCGTTAGGTGTCTAAAAGATCAAAAAAGTTCTGGTTTCGTCTTATGCTGTTTTTGCGAAAATGGATGAGGCAGTAAGCTCTCCACTGAAATAATATTAATGAAACATTTTAGTTTCTAATATAGCTGACACTTTTCGCAAAGTCTGTTTGAATGGCGAATCGATTTTGGAAACTGAATGCTTTTTACTGAGTAACGAAAACTAGATTATTTAATAATATATAGCATATTACACAAGGACTGTCTGTTTAAAGGAACGATATCTTCACGAAAGGTTTTCTAAGGAAAATGACTTGTATTAAGTTTATAAATAAGGAAAATCACGAAGCCGCATAGGCCGCCAACTGGTCTTCTAAACTTCGGGGTCGAAACCGTAGTGTGTTCAAAGATGATAACCACTTGATTCCAGATATCCTGATGAAAAAATTACGTCACATTACAGACAAAACAAATTAACTCCATTCATTTTGAGTTTAACATAAAGGATATGCGAGAGATCAAAAACTAGGAGCAAGCAGATAAACTCTGGACTTGTGGAAAAAGTTTTTTCTTTTTCCACAAGTCCAGAGAAAGCCCGTTTCATTACTTGATTAAGTGCCTTTTGTTAATCGTAATACAAAAATTCGCATGTGCAAGAAGGGCTGACACAGAACTACCATTAGAAATGTTTTAATGGTGCTCAGAGGCTTGAACAATTCATTTTGCATTAAAGTAATTCTCACAACATTAGCACTCTTCTGAAAATGAAACCTGTTAAAACGACTTTAAGCAAATTATGTCATATTCGCCTTGAAATTGGTTATTCGTACATTTCAATAATGAAGTTGTTGTAATCATGCTACAAATTTACATCTGGCACCACTGAAATGGAGCTAAACTGGAAATTAGCTTCCTTTTTATATATTTTCATGGTTCAGTTATCCATGAAAGTTGGAGACCTATCGGATACGGATGACCACAAGCAGTCAAGCGGTGAAATTGCTGAACACTGGTAGTTCGGTTCGAATCGCCCAAACGAGCTAACAGAATGGAGATTTTGTGATTTTCCCCGTGTGTAATGTGTATACGAGACATTTTCCTCAAGAAAGTCTTCCACGAAGGCATCCCTCTCTTCAGACAGATAGCCCTGGAGTACTTTGCCATAATAAAATAGACCAAACCTATCGGACACGGATTTCACAGCTCATGGAGACAGATTTATAGATTTTGGACTGTTAAGATTACATAGCATATGTTAGGCACTAATTCATTTTAACCCAATTAAAAACAAATTTTATAAGGTGTTATTAGAACAATGATTATGAATGTACACCTATGTAATAAAGTACCAATGATGGATGTTCAGTAATGTATAAATACTTGTAAACAGCATGATAAAAATCTCAGTCTTCCTGTATTAAAAATTTTAGTTTCGTCAGAAAAAAAGCCTGAATTATACTGTAGACGTTCGAAAGAAAAGTTTCATCTCTGTTTCATTAATCAGCTGTTGTATAGAAGCTGAAAGCTTCCCCAAGTGGGAAAATCTCAGTGCGGTTAATCAGATTCATTTGAATGACAAGTGTTCTCGCTAGTTTTCTGTCTAAATACCTCTGCATCTAAAAGAACACTCGCCCAAGTTGATTTTATTTGTCATTCACTCATAATAAGAGTTCATTATAGTGTCATTCACTCATAATAAGTGCCAGCTTTGAGAATGAAACGCCGAACAAAAATATCGCAATATAATTAACGTGTGAAAACCATTCTTCTTTCTTTTCATTTAATCTTCATTTTAAAAATCTTTATTTAAAAATCTTTATTTAAAAAGCTACTGTAATGCTTTATAAAGACTGGAGCAAAGGATTAAATGGTACTTTTCCTTTTCGCAGGCGCAAATCTCGCCAAGTAGACTTAGCGACAGCATACAGTATACACATAAAAAATGTTAACAAATGTTAGTTCTAAGAATTTTTTATTTTGAAGGCATAAACATTTTAATATCGTTTAAAATTTTGTAAAAAGACATTAATTTAAGAATTTACTATGCTTTCATGGTTCAACATCCTGATTCGCCGGTTCTTATCACATGAACCCAAGTGATCTTCTCTCACGTAAACTACGCTACAAAAATCGAAGTCTCTCAGTAATCATCTAAATTAATTTCAAGTTAAATCATAATTTCGAATACAAGTTTAAATGCAAGAATTATTTCAATTCGTACGAATAGCTTACTCAGAAATTATGTAAAACGCAGAGCTTTACTTCGCTAGTGCATTCTCATTAGAATTAATGAATTTAACCCTTAATTTGCCTTTTCTATATTCTCTCAGTAGAATTGATGAATTTAAAACTTGCCTTTGCCTTCGGGTGAGCGGTGTGATTACATCCTAACTGACTTAATTACCGCGAATGACCTTAAAGCATAAAACTGAACTATTTGGTAAAAATTCTATGTAATTGTATGCCAGTATTGAAAGCAACAATCAATCTGATGAGAATGGCTGAGACTTGTTTTGAAAATGAGGCGTAAAAGGTTACCAGCGAGGATATTCCGTTTAGCATTAGTTGTATCATTATTGACGAATTTATCGCCTGCGCTGGCAAAACGGAAAAGTACCGGCTAAACATTAGTAGAGCTATGGAAGTCACAATTAGTAAAGCAACACTGCAGATGCTAGATACAAAACAGCTCCGATACAGATATCGAAGATCCGATTCTCCTTACTGTAGTAAATGTTTACTGATCGACAGCATGGAACATGTAATTATTCATTGTAAGAGATACGAGGAAGCCAGAGGCGAAATGTTAAGGAAAATGAAACTGGGAGATATCGACCCAATGGCCGATTTGATTGCCCACTGCAATAAGAATCCCTGGCGATATCGAATTTTAGGGAACTTTATCACCAAATGCATTCAGAATTCTTAAATACCTTTACAAAACTGACGTTGTCTCTGGAGTGGAGGGAATGCGACCATATATACAGTGGTGGCCAAAATTGTGGACACTTTTGGAAATTTTTATGTTTTTGAACTTTGTATGCTTATAGAAAACGTTACGTTTCACAAAATGCAAACTTGTATATATCATTTTAAAGAGAATTTATTACTGAATTCAATACAAAACACAAAATTCAATTATTTGCAATACAAAAAAAGTTAAACGATAATAGTTATCGATATACATTAGATAGTGATGATTGCAGTGAGTTATCAGTACTTAGTAGGGTACCCTTTATTATTGATTACAGCTTCACATCGACGTTTCATTGAGCTGACAAGAGTTTTAAGCTCTTCTTTCGTTATTACATGATGCCAGGAAACAATTATAGCCTCAATTAGTTCCCTTTTATTTGATGGGCGCCTCATTCGGACAAGAGTTTTCAAATGGTGCCGCAAATTTTCGATAGGATTGAGGTCAGGACTGTTTCCTGGCATTGACAACAATTTAATGCTCTTTGTACGAAACCACTCTTTCGATATTTTGGCCGTGTGGCAAGGAGCAGAATCCTGCTGAAAATAAACGAAGCATTGTTGGGAAAGAGATCTCTGATGGAAAGTAGAAGTTTTGGTTCTAGAATAGTGTCAATGTATTTTCTGGCATTCAGTGTCCCATTGATGACATGAAGGCGACCAATACCATCTGCTGACGTGCATGACCAAATCATGACACTAACTGGGTTCTTCGCAGTTGCTTGAAGGCAGTCAGGATGTAGCTCTTCTCCTATTCTACGTCTTACATATTTTCGCCCATCACTACCGAATAACGATATCTTAGTTTCATCACTCCATATAACTTGTGACCACTGATCATCTGTTCAATTAATGTGTTCCTTTGCCCACTGTAGTCTTTTTTTTTTTTTTTTTTTTTTTTTTTTTTTTTTTTTTTTTTCGTTGCTGAAAATTAAGATAAGGCTTTTTTCGTGGAATTCTACCTCTCTGTCCAACATCTATTAATCTTCTCCTGATTGTTCTTGACCTGACAGAAACACCAGCATCATTCAGATCGCTTCTGATGGCCTCTGATGACATTTTTCTATCTTGGAGACATAGTCTTTTTATTCTTCTGTAATCAAAAGATGTGGTGCACCTTTTTCGGCCTTTTCCTTCTTTGTTTTTTTTATTGAATTTGTCTCCTGATATCGTAAACAAAACTTTCGGACTCCAGATGTAGTCACTGAACCACCCACCTGCCTTGCAATTTCAGCATAGGAAAGACCACTTTCTCGTAACACAATAATATTACATCTCTTTCTAGGTGTCCAATCTACTCTTTTATTTGATGTCATTGCTTCTTGACTAAATATTAAAAAATTTTACAAAAATTTGTATACTTGTAATTGCAGTGTATAAGAAACAGGTTCTCCTTCTACAGAACAAAACAAAATAATGAATTGTTTCAAGTGTAAACATGATGTCAGCTTCTACTGGCAGTTACTAACATTTCATTGGTTCTCAGAACAAGAACAGTGATTCGCCAGGAAAGCTAGACATTACAAACCACTTCATAACCGTGTTTTTTATTTATATTAAGTACATATAACTTTTTTTGTATTGCAAATAATTGAATTTTGGGTTTTGTATTGAATTCAGTAATAAATTCTCTTTAAAATGATATATATATATAAGTTTGCATTTTGCGGAACGTAAGATTTTCTATAAGCATACAAAGTTCAAAAACATAAAAATTTCCAAAAGTGTCTACAATTTTGGCCACCACTGTAAATAAATAAAAGTTCGTTGCGCATGCGTAGGAGCACAAGGAGCAGAACGGCAGCCAGGCTTCACAAAGTAGGAGAAGAGGATGATATAAGTTTGGGTTTTGCCAAGTTGAACTTCGCCATTTTTCCTAGCTGTATTTTAGGTTGCAGATAAATTTATATTGATGTTATAAACATTTAATACTGTGTATGTGCATCTCCTATGTTTTAGTGAACTGAATAACTATTGAATAGTTTTAAAACCGAAATGAAAGTATCTGTCATTATCTTACATTCAAATCGGACCCCCGTTGTTTCAGAAGAATTGTCCTAGTGTTGGTTTTCAAATATGGATAAAAGATTACATAAAATAAAACAGCAAGCGTTCATGTCTGGTGCATGCGATTCTTCAACTCCTATCCAGCCAAGTTTACCTTTGAAGCATCGAAGTCTCTTCGGTGAGGTTGCTGATGCTGCAGTTAATAAAGTAAGCAAAAAGACTACTGTAGTTATGATACTGGAGGCGGTAAGCACATTAGGTAAGCTTTTCTTATTAGAATTCAGAAATGATCTGTTAAGTAGTATAGAGGTGTACTGAGTAAAATCCTGCTTAAGTTATTAAGTTAACATTTAATCCGCAATGTCCTTCAAATATTAATTAACATACTTTCTTGGCATCAAAAAATAATAATGAATTAGAAGAAATATGTCTGTACCTATATATATATATATATTATATATATATATATATATATATATGAAGTATAAAATATTTTCAAATGTGTAACAATTTACAACTACGTGAAAAACGGACATTTTTTCCTTTTCTCTTTTTCTTCTGTTCGTACCATATTGCCGTTCTTCTAGTGCGTTCAGCTATAAAAATTCATATTGGATATCGTTCAAGTGAGCTATAGTTTGTTGATATTCCGGAGCTAAGTATAAACTCTTAATAAGTCACAGAAAGAAAACTAATAAATGCGATATAGGAATCTTGTACGATATTTCCTTCATGCTCATATTTTTTATAGTAATGCATACGAGTGATGAATAATGCATGAATAATAGTTACAGATATGTTGATGTAGCGGCACTAGCCGCAAAGTTAGACTGATTTACTTAACTGTTTCTAAGATTGAATTTTCCAAAACCATTTCTTGCATGCATGTTAATGGCATTTTGCAATGCTTCATTAAAATCTACTTTACCTTTCTTATTTTAACTCGTGTTTAAATTCTAACCACGTTCCTAAATAACTACACAGATTTCAATTACTATTAAAATGAATGTTAGAAAAAGCATAGATAATGTTGCTGATGTTTGTCTTAAATACCAATCTAAAGAAAAATTATTTAAAATTTTAGTTAGTTTTAGCACTTTCATCATTTTAAATTTCCTTCAGAATATATTCTCGCTATTATCTGATGATCTGCAGCACCAGAAAAATAGCAATCTCACTAGTAATTTTGTGCAGTAGCAAAAAATGTTTGTTTAGCTATCTGTCGAGCATATAATTATTGTTCTGTTCGTAAATAACAGGAATCGTAAGAAATTTTACGAGAAAAACAAAAATTTATTCGACTGATATTTACATTTTTACAGTTGAATACTGTTCAGCAAAATGAATGAAACATAAAGACATAAAGCATATAAATCCACGTATGCTTAAACACTTAGATGATACGCACACGTGTCGGTCGGTTATTGTCGCATGTATACTTGAAAATACTCTAAGACAAAGGCAATTAATTCTACCTAATCCTGAAATCTAGAATTGGGTTTTAGGACAATCGCAGTGCAGTATTTCAGATATTAAATATGTGACTAAGAAGTGAAAGATCGCTGTTCTTCAAAATCAAGTGCTTAAAAGAACTTTAAATTCTAAACTGAAATCATTTCCACTATTTAAATGCCCGCTATCATTTTCACGCGTTACTTATATTGCGATATTTTTGCTTGGCGTTTCATTCAGCTCTGAAAGCTGGCACTTGGCTAACTCTGATTATGAGTGAATGACAAATAAAATCAACTTGGACGAGTGTTCTTTTAGATGCAGAGGCAGTTAGACAGAAAATTAGCGAGAATACTTGTCATTTAAATGAATCGGATTAACTGCACTGTGATTTTCCCGCTGGAGAATGTTTACTGTTTCTGTACGATAGCTGATAAATGAAACTTTTCTTTCGAACTTCTACAGTATAATTCAGCGGCTAATCTTTGAAATATGGTAACAGGTAGTTTGGCGACATTTTGGTAAGGCGATAAAGGTTACTTAGCTAGGAATTTAGCAATAATCTGAGAAGTACACAGTTCGAATCACAGATTATTTTGTCTCAGAGAAATGAGAGATCATGAAACATGTAATGTGATATTTCCCGGAAAATTCCAATCGGGATTTTAACTAATAAGCACTTAGAAACAACTTCGCTGCTAAAATGCAGAATCGTCCACTTATTTGTTTGACGCTTTTTACAAGAGAAGAATTGGATTTTTGTCAATTTTCTTTGACCTTTTTAAGTGAAAATAGGTCGATGTGTATATGGATAAAATCAAGAGTGTGCGCAATGTCATTTTTGTGCAATACTAGGATGTTTTTTTAAGTGAAAATAGGTCGACGTGTACATGGATACCGTGTATATGCAATTAAAAACCAAACTGGCAGTGGTTTTTAATTGGCAAGCAGTGGGAGATTCTACACTTTCTCTCAATTTCACACCTAATCTTGGTCATGATTGAGCATTTTTGTTCCATAAAAGTTCTAGCATAAGCGTAATTCGGCTAGCAGATTGAAAAAATGTTGTAAAAAAAAAAAAAAAAAATGTGAAAACAAAATGGCATCCAACAAAAAACTAGCAGGTTGCTGTAGCAGGGTTGGTCGCGAAAGTTTCGCCAAAAAATCGCCAAGTTACCATAATCCGAAGATTCACCTAATTCAGGCTTTTTTTCTGACGAAACTAAAATTTCTAATACAGGAAGACATGAGATTTTTATCATGCTGTTTACAAGTATTTATACAGGACTGAACATCGGGACTTTATATAGATGTGCAGTCATAATCATTGTTCTAATAACACCTTATAAAATTTGTTTTTAATTGGGATGAAATGAATTAGTGCCTAACATATGCCATGTAAACTTGACAGTTCAAAATCTATAAATCTGTCTGCAAATCCATATCCGATAAATTTGGTCTATTTGATAATGACAAAGTACTCCAGGACTATCTGTCTGAAGAGAGGGATGCCTTCGTAGAAGACTTTCTTGAGGAAACTGGTTCGTATACACATTACATATAGGAAGATCACAAAAACTCCCTGCAGTCAGCTCGTTCGCGGGATTCGAACCCAACTATCAATGTTCAACAACTTTACCGCTTGGCCATTTATACTGTGGACATCTATATGCGATAGGTCTCCAACTTTCATGGATAACTGAACCACGAAAATATATAAAAAGAAGCTAATTTCCAGCTTTTATGATGGTAGTTCTGTATCAGCCCTTCTTGCGCATATATAATAATATACATAATTTTTTCATCAGGATATCGGGTTTTGTCCGCTAGTAATTAAGTGGTTATCATCGCTGAACACACTAGGGTTTCGACCCCGAAGTTTAGAATTAGAAGACCAGTTGGCGGCCTATGCGGCTTCGTGATTTTCCTTATTTATAAACTTAATACAAGTCATTTGGCTTAGAAAACCTTTCGTGAAGATATCGTTCCTTTAAACAGACAGTCCTTGTGTAATATGCTATATATTATTAAATAATCTAGTTTTCGTTACTCAGTAAAAAGCATTCAGTTTCCAAAATCGATTCGCCATTCAAACAGACTTTGCGAAAAGTGTCAGCTATATTAGAAACTAAAATGTTTCATTAATATTATTTCAGTGGAGAGCTTACTGCCTCCTCCATTTTTGCAAAAACAGCACAGGTCGAAACCAGAACTTTTTTTATCTTTTAGACACCTAACTCAGCTGTAGTGAAGCAATTTGTGCGACCGGAGTAAAAATAGAAGTAACTGATGTGATTATGTAGTTTATCGTACTTCGTGGTTGTGAAAGATAAGTGAATTAATTTATCACAATGCATACTTTTTACCTTGCAAAGGTCGTTATTTTGAAAGCTCTTGAATACCTTCTTAATTTAATTTAGATTACATGATTTCGCCAATTTCGCTTCTTAATCATTCGTAGTTCAAAGCTGTGCCCTATGAACGCGTGTGAACATTCGCATGCCACTGCAATCAAATTTTATATTATGCATATCCAAGCCTATACTAAGAATGATTTGGCTTCACTATTGTTGGAAAAATTGGGGTTAAGGTCTTCAACACTGAATGTAACCTTAGTCACGGAATTAAGATTTTCGAATAGTTTAGTTGTGGCGTTTACTTTTGTATATAAGAGAGCTCTTGTTTAGTTTAGTCATCATATAAAGGAATTATTTATTTAAAAATTACAGCTCTCATTCATTAACTATGAATGAAGAGAATTATTCTTTTATATTGAATGAAGAGAAGTGCCAATATTGTTTTTATATTGGCACTTCTCTTCATTCATTAACTATGAATGAAGAGAAGAGCCAATATAAAAACTAGTCTTGTTGGCGTAGATTTTGTATATAAAACTTGAGATTATGAAAGTGAATGGCGTAGGTTCAGGAGCAAAAGACAATTTTTTTCCTCTAAAAGATCTACATACGTCGACCTTAATCTATACTTTCCGTAAAATTTAAGTTAATTTAAGGCCTCCCTATAATTTTATAGTGGTTAAATTTATTTCAAATCATCGTAAACAGTCTTGATGGGAATGAAATTGCCGAATTGGTACTAAGTTTTTAGTGAAATATTTGCGACATTAAAGTTTCAGCTATAAACCGTAGTTATGAGAATTTAGATTTCAACCATGCGTAGAGTAAATTCATCAGAGCTGTTTATAAACATGTTATCAGCGACTCTCAAAAATGGTCCTAAGGTGTAGATTCTTTATTGAGTGTATCAAGTGAAGCTATTCTCTCAGGTACAAAACAAGACACAGCGCTAAACTGAAAAGTAATAAACTGCAATTACTTAGAGATGAAAACTGAAATGTTGAAAATTTAGGAGCAAAAATTTTCCGATTTTCTTCAGGTATTGAAAGTCTATCAGCATGGCTCTAAAATAGTTAAAAGAAAAACCTATACGCACTCGTATATCCGCGGTCAATAACAATAAATTTTACTTTAGCTACGGACCCGTTTTTGGTTTCCTTATTAGACCAGGTCTCCTGCATCCAGCAGTACACCTGTAGACAAGCCTCTTGTTCACATTAAGACCGCTGAATGTTCGGCCCCATGCTCTGCCTGCATGTTTGGTTTTCGAGGTTTTTCCAGTGTATAAAATGAATAAGCCAGTTTTGCTTAGAACACCTTTTACGAAAGCATCTCTTTTCCTAGGGTGGATAGCCATCGTGCGCTCTGCCACATTCAAATGACTTAAACCGTTGTTTACAAAAGGAATCTGTGTTCATTTGTATCTACATAAGTTACTATGTTTATATGA